CAGGAAACGGGCGTTTGTGTGCAAAGTGAAGATGAAAGAGTGCTTATCAGCTAAATCTAGCATGGTCCTCGCTTTAGAGCAAACTACGAAAACAAAAACACTTGATGGCACGTCCCTGCACTGAAACAAATCAATTTTCCAACAGGAATACAAGTAATTCCTCAAAAAAAGAAAAGCACATCTGAGCTTGCTAATGAATAAGTAGATGAGAAATGGGGACGAATGGTGAGCTGTAAACACTCAAAGGCATTTTGAATGGAGCCCACATTCTAATCTCTGCCTGCATACGCCCCACCTGTGTGGTGTGACCATAATAGGGATTTAATAATGTGTCGACCACTGTCTGATTGGTCTCAGACACTATCCAGCTCTGCTTTTATTCCCATAATGCACCTCATGCTGTGCTTTCTCGTCTGTGACGGCATCTCTCGTGGTAATCATAGAGGCATGTTCTCGCTCTTTTCTGCCTTTTTTTTTTAAAACCACTAAACTATGTACCAATTTATGTTAACACAGTATATGTTGTATAAAGCTAGTGCACCCAGTACCAATACAAAAAGCTCTTTGGGCCTTATTGTTGTGCTCTAAAATGGATATTTATTTCTGATAACAGGTGGATGTATACTGCCCTGAATTTCCATCTGTGCCATTGTTGAGATGAGTGTTCCTGTTTTGTCCCCTCTCAAAGCACCTGCCGGCAGGGGCGGATCTACCGGGGTGGCATGGGGTGGCAACTGCCACCCTAAACAATAGCCTTGCCACCCCAGCTGCCACCCCAGTTGGCATCTTTGTTTTGAAAGAAAAGTTGTTGCTCATCGGACATTTATGAGAGAAAGTCTCTAATGTCCGAGTGCAAGTGAATGCAGCACAAGATGCACGTCATGTAACCCCTCCCCCGGTCCTGGCGCGAGAGTGGAAATATGATTGGTGGCGAATTCATTTGAACGGGACGGCGCAAAGCGAGAAGCCTTTCGGACCCAAGCACTGAAGGAATGAGGTATTTGCGGTCTACACTGACAGAGAAGAGACTGTCAGTGTGGCTGCACTCAGCATTGAATCAAAACGCACTACAGCTGTTGATCTTAATACGTTTGTGAGGCGTTTTGCTGAACAAAATGGTAATCGCCGCATTCAGCTGTAATAGACATGCCAACTTGATGCTCTGCTCACGGATGACTCGATGAGAATAACAAACTGTTAAGATGATGACCTTGTATGCGTGTAGCCTATATATTGTTTTCTTTGAGGGGGTCTGCCCCCAAAAAACAATTTTAAGTCCTGAAAAAGTAAAATAAGACGGTGTGTAAAACTACACTGCCCAGCCAACAGAAAGTAACCACTTTGATTTAACTAGGCCAGTAGGTAAGGACTTTCCACTGGATAATAACTGCAGCGATGTTTTAGCTGAATACACGTTTTTTAACCCTAACTGATGCAGTTAGTCACTTCTTTAATGTTTGTTCTTTCTGATGTAAAGTCAAGGTTGTAACTGTTTATCAATAATGATATAATTACTTGTTTTTCAAATTTGAAGGAGGGTGAGCAAGCATCTTGATGAACATTCATCATTAACTCCTCCAAAAAATATAGTTTATTCAATAATAAATGAATATGTGAATCATAACAGTTCTTCACTATATCTGTAAAGCGTCTTTGAGCACCTGTAAAAACGCTAACAAATTAAATCTATTATTATTATTATTATTTATTAACAGTGAAAGGAGCCAGTTGAGGTGGTTCGGGCACCTAGTTAGGATGCCACCTGGGCGCCTCCCTAGGGAGGTGTTCCAGGCACGTCCAGCTGGGAAGAGACCAAGGGGTAGACCTAGGACCAGGTGGAGGGATTATATCTCTTCGCTGGCCTGGGAGCGCCTTGGGATCCCCCAGTCAGAGCTGGTTGATGTCGCCAGGGAAAAGAAAGTTTGGGGCTCTCTGCTGGAACTGCTACCCCCGCGACCCGACCACGGATAAGCGGGAGAAGATGGATGGATGGATGGAACAGTGATAGGAATAATATTATTGTTAATAGTATCATATTCATTCAGACAAACATCGATGAGACAGTTAATTAATGTACTTATTGCAGCAGTCTGCATAGATTTGGTACCCCTGCTGGTCTAAGAGTGAAACAAACTCATTCAGTTATTGTTCAGTTAAAATTCATTAAATTACGTCTGCCACCTTATAAGGCTTTACTGATGTGCCACAATAATATCACCTATGTGATTGAGTTAAAATATTAATATTGTGGCTTTCCAAGTTAACATTGATTGTAGGGGTGTAACGGTTCACAAACATTTCGGTTCGGTACGTACCTCGGTTTTTAGGTCACGGTTCGGTTCGGTTCATTACGTTTTCGGTACAGCAGAAAAAATTATCACAAAACATTAAAAACATTTTTTTTATTATTATTAAACTGTGACTAATGTATTCAAATAAATACAAAATATAGTAAAATAAACATTAAGGTGCAGCATTTCGATGAACTGAAATAATCTGTATTTGAACTGTACTAGTACCTGAGCAGCCAGCTTGACATTAGGACTTGCTTGTCATTGTATTTTCATGTTGTTTAAAGAAAGATGAACTTGTCCACATTGCTTGCTGAAATGGCAGATCTGCTGGCACTAACAATGTCTCCTGCTGTGGAGAACACCCTCTCTAGGGACAGAGGTAGCAGACACAGCCAGGTAGTGCTTTGCTAACATGGCAACATAAGGATATTTGGCGTTTGTAATAGCTTTGGCTCGGTCTGAACTTTCTGCGAGTGGTGGAGGCTTACATGCTAGTGGGAGTTGGGTTTGCACTTCAGTCTTTTTTCTTTTGGTACCGGTGATATTCACATTCGGTTGATGCCTTTTCAAATGAGTGTGATGTATTGCCAGCCGCGTAACAAATGTTAGTTGAACAATACAGACAAACAGCTTTGGTTCGGTCCACCTGTCTTTGTCCGTCATCCTTGTACGTAACTGCGAAACCAAAATGTTCCCAAACCGGAGACTTCAATGATGCTGGAGGATTTTCAGCTCAACTTTATCTGCGTTCGCCATTTCGACAGTTCCTCAAATTACTGACTACATTTGAACACATCCCTGTGACCAGCTCTCATAGTATGCCTCTCGTCCAATGAAATGACTTGGTCGCTCTATGATATATACCTGAGATTACTTCCAGAAAGTTGTTCATGTTCTCAATTTTTTTACGTTTAACGCTATATTAGTTCGGTACACACGTGTACCGAACCAAAGGGCCCGTACCGAATAATTTCAGTACGGGTACGTGTACCGTTACACCCCTAATTGATTGATATGATTGCGATTTAAATCAGCATATACTTCTGTCAGGGGATGCCACCCCTCAAAATCTCCTGCCACCCTCTTGCCACCCCATGAATATTTGTCTAGATCCGCCCCTGCCTGCCGGCCATATGATGTGAAGTGCCACAAAGTGGCGGTGATATTGCGATCATCCTGTCATTACATGAATCGTTGATTGATAAAAAAGAGAGGAAATGCTCCTGTGTGAGGTAATTGTACTCTGCTGAGATGCTGCACCTCAGTACAAAAATAGATGATGTTAAAGAGAGCAACATGTCAGCTCTGCCCTGCGGAGTGAAGCCAGGAAATGAAAAGCACCTTTCAGAGCAGATGTTGTGTCTCTCACAGGGCAGGGAAGTGGCTCAATCTGCATATTATGTGTAGAAGAGCCTGATTTATTGCTATGGTGAGGGAAACCTACTCTGAGTCAAACCTGAGTGCATCGACCGAGTTGTGCTGTTGTAATAACCTAAATTAATTGAATTCACTGCCTAAATAATGACTTCATTTCTTATATTTGTACACACGCTTTCACTCTCAGTCTCACGCTCTCACGCTGCCCAAACTATTCTCACGCCGAAAACAAGATGAACCGGCGATCGTTTTTGGTTGGTTATTTACAATGTTGAGTTGACAGCTGCTCAAGCTGTTGATCCGCTCCCTCCCCGCCCCCACCACTCTTAACAACGTTAACAGACAGCAGAGCAGTGGGAGCCGGTTGGTCAATCCCCGACCCGTATTGCGCATGCGCAGATCTAAGATCCAGTAGAAATGATAACAAAGTAAAAGTCTGCTGCTTATTGTTCTACTAGGCCAAAATAGAGTCAAAGAGATGAGAGTGAGAGTGCGTTAATTAATATATTTGGCAGTTTGGAGTAAGTCTGTAGATTTGTTTGTGTGTGTGTGTTTCATGTATAGGCCTCTCGCGATAATTAATTTAGTTGGATACATTTTCCCGGAAATTATTGCGATAAACGATAATATTGTCGGCACCGTTGTATGACCATTTTAGACCACTGACATAATGATAATATATAATAAAATTCAAGTACATCCTTTCAAACTGCTAGTTACATCCTCATGTAAATGGCAATTTATCGAGTTCATTTAATTGTTTATCGCGACAGGCCTATGCACACAATAAAACAGTGGAAACAAACATGTGTTTGACTTTCATTAGTGAATTAAACTTTGTGCCCTTTATAGCCTGTGTCCAATATTGTGTATTTGTATATATTGTATATATATCCTCTATATATATATATATATATATATATGTGCTAAGGTCCCGCTGCTGACATGATAGCAGTCATTTAGTGCGCATATGTGTAATTAAACCCATGATATCAAAATCTCACTCCAGCCAGGTACCCAAAGTTGGCAACCCTGCCTTAGTATAGCAAACACATTTATAATAAGTAGTTGTATATCTGTAAATATACATTCATATTTGTAAAAGGATCCTTAGCTCTCTTGTTAAGTGATGAATGAGATTAATATCAGTCTCAAATCTGAATGCTAAATATTAAGCTACGACTAGCAGGTGGTTAGCTAAACTCATCATAAATGCAACAAATAGCTAGGCTAGCTCTAAAGTGTTATAGTTAAACATCATGAGCATGCATTAAGTTCACCTTAACACGGTTTAGAATAGTTATAGAACTAGATATGTTGTTGTCTTACCGAGGGTCGGGTCGTACTCCCAGATGAAGCGTCTGGTCAGAAATCTCACCACCAAAGCTGCAGAAAAAAAAGAAAGACATGTTCAAAGTATGTAAACAGTTCCATAAAAATTAGCATGTTAGTCTAGGTGTAGTCATGGACTCTGACCTGAGTTTCAACAGTCACATTACAACAGTTACTAAATCAGCCTACTATCACCTAAAGAATATATCTAGGATTAAAAGACTAATGTCACAGCAGGATTTGGAAAAACTTGTCCATGCTTTTATCTTCAGTAGACTCGACTACTGCAATGGTGTCTTCACAGGTCTCACTAAAAAATCTATTAGGAAGCTGCAGCTAATTCAGAACGCTGCTGCTCGAGTCCTCACTAACACTAAGAAAGTGGATCACATCACTCCTGTTCTGAAGTCTTTACACTGGCTTCCTGTGTGTCAAAGAATAGATTTCAAAATACTGCTGCTGGTTTATAAAGCTTTGAATGGTTTAGGCCCAAAATACATTTCTGACCTCCTGCTAAATTATGAACCATCCAGATCTCTCAGGTCTTCAGGGACTGGTCAGCTTTCTGTCCCCAGAGTCAGAACTAAACATGGAGAAGCAGCATTCAGTTATTATGCTCCAAATATCTGGAACAAACTCCCAGAAACCTGCAGGTCCGCTGCAACTCTGACTACTTTTGAATCCAGGCTGAAGACTTTTCTTTTTGTCGCTGCTGTTAATTGAACTATTCACATCTTAGACTGCACTGTAACTTTTATTATCTTTGCTTTTTAATGCCATTTTCTTAATGTCTTTCATTTTTGTAAAGCACTTTGAATTGCCTTGTGTTGAGTCCCCCCAAAGGTAGTTAAAGTCATTATTGGGGTTAAAGTCCCCTCGTAGGTGGTTAAAGTCCCCTACGTGTGCCGTTTTGGTTTTAAATGAGTGTTTTGAAATGCCATTTTATAATATCTTTCTTAAATGCTATTAATGTCTTTCATTTTTGTAAAGCACTTTGAATTGCCTTGTGTTGAAATGTGCTATATAAATAAACTTGCCTTGCCTTGCCTGCTCTCCAGAATGTTTACTGTATATGTTGCCTCAAGTGTGGATTTACCTCTATGATAATTCAACAAAGGGGCAGGTACAGTAATATAAGATTTGTTGTCTTCTTCCTGCTCCTTTTCGGTCAATGGTGTGTTTATAGAGACATGTTTTGTTAACGATTATTTTACTTTAAGATTTGCATACCATGAACGGAACTAATACAAAATGAAATGAAACTTGATGTGCTGCTCAGTCAATAACAGTGCAGATCATATCAGGCTGTGTTCCTAATATCCATATCCACTGACAACATGTCTACTTCAATACTGTAGTTAATCAGCTGTGGATGACCACTAAGAGGCCACAAGAGCCAAACCACTTTAACACACGTCTCATCTAATGCTAATACTCATTTGAACAGTTCCAGAACATTCAGGCGGAGTTCAAACGCCTTCAGGATCCAACATCGTCTCTCTTAATGAGCTGCTTCTCTTACATGGGGAAACAATGCTGCTCAGCATCAGCCTTCATTACAAAAGCAGAACAACATGCCGCAGCAGGCCAGTGACTCACTCTCAAAGACTGCATCAAGCTCACTCTCCTACCATCAACATGTAGTCTGCACACAGAGATGTTCTTCACTCAGATAAGATCAGAAGGCCATACAGATACAGCCAACACCGATAAAGTGCTGTCTGAGTAAAGTACCTGTAAACAAGTCTGTAAAGTGCATTCAAACATGTATTTGGTAATCAACATGTGTCTTTGTGATACAGATCTTTCCCAGCATCACTTTTCATCCAGAAGCCAAGATCAGCTCTTCCATTTGATTGGTCGTAACAACAGTCCAGACAAACCTCTGTGCTCCTCTGCTGCTTGTTTTCCATCACCATCCTCTGGTACTTCACAACAGAGCATACAGTGTAATCTGATTCCCCTCTGATTCCCCCCAGGCAGTCACAACAGGAGGTGTGCCTCATTCTGTTACAGGTTTTCAGAAAACTATAGCTTCTCTTTCTTTAGTTGGGTTATTGGGTAGGCATGATACCACTGAGACTCTAATATGGACAAAGGCAAACATACTAAATGCATGAATTAATTAGATTCTCAGAGAGAACAAATGATATAGGCTAAATGTTAAAGAGGACATACTCTGCTCATTTCAGGTTCATATCAGTATGTAGTGTCTCTACTTTAAAAAGTCCTCTCTGCTGATGTTCAGGTGTATATCAGTATGTAGTGTCTCTACTTTAAAGAGTCCTCTTCTGCTGATGTTCAGGTGTATATCAGTATGTAGTGTCTCTACTTTAAAGAGTCCTCTCCGGCTGATGTTCAGGTGTATATCAGTATGTAGTGTCTCTACTTTAAAGAGTCCTCTCCTGCTGATGTTCAGGTGTATATCAGTATGTAGTGTCTCTACTTTAAAGAGTCCTCTTCTGCTGATGTTCAGGTGTATATCAGTATGTAGTGTCTCTACTTTAAAGAGTCCTCTCCTGCTGATGTTCAGGTGTATATCAGTATGTAGTGTCTCTACTTTAAAGAGTCCTCTCCTGCTGATGTTCAGGTGTATATCAGTATGTAGTGTCTCTACTTTAAAGAGTCCTCTCCTGCTCATGTTCAGATGTATATCAGTATGTAGTGTCTCTACTTTAAAGAGTCCTCTTCTGCTGATGTTCAGGTGTATATCAGTATGTAGTGTCTCTAATTTAAAGAGTCCTCTCCTGCTGATGTTCAGGTGTATATCAGTATGTAGTGTCTCTACTTTAAAGAGTCCTCTCCTGCTGATGTTCAGGTGTATATCAGTATGTAGTGTGTCTACTTTAAAGAGTCCTCTCCTGCTGATGTTCAGGTGTATATCAGTATGTAGTGTCTCTACTTTAAAGAGTCCTCTCCTGCTGATGTTCAGGTGTATATCAGTATGTAGTGTCTCTACTTTAAAGAGTCCTCTTCTGCTGATGTTCAGGTGTATATCAGTATGTAGTGTCTCTACTTTAAAGAGTCCTCTCCTGCTGATGTTCAGGTGTATATCAGTATGTAGTGTCTCTACTTTAAAGAGTCCTCTCCTGCTGATGTTCAGGTGTATATCAGTATGTAGTGTCTCTACTTTAAAGAGTCCTCTTCTGCTGATGTTCAGGTGTATATCAGTATGTAGTGTCTCTACTTTAAAGAGTCCTCTCCGGCTGATGTTCAGGTGTATATCAGTATGTAGTGTCTCTACTTTAAAGAGTCCTCTCCTGCTGATGTTCAGGTGTATATCAGTATGTAGTGTCTCTACTTTAAAGAGTCCTCTTCTGCTGATGTTCAGGTGTATATCAATATGTAGTGTCTCTACTTTAAAGAGTCCTCTCCTGCTGATGTTCAGGTGTATATCAGTATGTAGTGTCTCTACTTTAAAGAGTCCTCTCTGCTGATGTTCAGGTGTATATCAGTATGTAGTGTCTCTACTTTAAAGAGTCCTCTCCTGCTCATGTTCAGATGTATATCAGTATGTAGTGTCTCTACTTTAAAGAGTCCTCTCCTGCTGATGTTCAGGTGTATATCAGTATGTAGTGTCTCTACTTTAAAGAGTCCTCTCCTGCTGATGTTCAGGTGTATATCAGTATGTAGTGTCTCTACTTTAAAGAGTCCTCTCCTGCTGATGTTCAGGTGTATATCAGTATGTAGTGTCTCTACTTTAAAGAGTCCTCTCCTGCTGATGTTCAGGTGTATATCAGTATGTAGTGTCTCTACTGGGACATGTCTCCATGCTTTAATGTTCAAAAAGCTCTTTATTTGTATCATACTGCCTGTGCTGCAGCACCTCTTTTCACCCTTTGTCTGAAACCAGAGCCCAGTCTGCACTGATAGGTACAATGTGTTCGAGCGCTAGCCAATAGGAGTGTGAGTGTTATATAGTGATATGTTACAAGGTAAACAAAGAGTCCAATTGCGGAGTTTCAGGCAGGGGGGTGGGGGGTGGGGGGTGGGGGGAGTGTGTGGGAGAAAACTCCCTCTGAAGGGAACATGGGTATTTTAACCTTTGAAGACCATTTACATGCACTAAAACCTACATGATAGAACATACTGCAGGGAAGGGAACATTTGGGAAAAGCATAATAGGGCCTCTTTAGTTTTTATTTTATTTAGGAGAAACACTATGCAGGGCTGCCAACTTTTCAATTTTGTTTTGAATGAAATACATAACTTCAGATTTTAAAGGGTCATCATGAACAGAATTAAATAGAATATTTCAGCAAACATCTGGAGGAAGATATTTAAAAGTGAGGACATTTCCTGTGTTACGCTGTAGTTTAAGGTAACTTTCCTTTTATTTTGAAACAAAAAACTATAAAGATTGAACATTTCAGCCAAAAACATGTATTAAATATCTGAAAGTTTAAAAAACATTACGTTATTAATGTGTATCACTTTAATTTCAGCAGACTCTCCCTTAACAATAATGTGCATGAAAACAAGAGAGTTGTGACCTCTGGATGAAATCGGGAGCGGAAAATGAAAAGCGGGATTCTCCCGGGGAAATATTGAGGGTTGGCTGTCACAGCTCAGTGGACGCCTGACCACAGCCTCAATCAGAACTATTTATTGCTGTTCCAAACTACTGCACTCAAATGCAAAGTGAAAAGTAGCTTCTATACTTTAGAGCAGTCGTTTGCAGCCCTGCCTTTTGGTGCTTTTTGGTAATCAAATCAAGTTTTATTTATATAGCACATTTAAAAGCGATCTTTCGTCGAGCCAAAGTGCTGTACATGTAACAAAAACACTTTACTACAATCACAATAAAAGACAATAATTTACAACAGAAATATAAAAAAACACAGGGAATAGTCAGGAGTGGTGCTCCACTCTGACTAGAAGGCCAGGGAGAAGAAGTGTGTTTTTAGTGAGGATTTAAAAAACCCTAGTGTCTGGGCCGACCTCTCATGGAGGGGCAGACTATAATTGCCTATGAGAGCAAATTATTAATTGTTTGCTCTCTGTGAGCCTGTGAGCTCCACTTGAGTCCAGGCGTGAATGTGTCCTCATGTCAA